TCTAGTGTTCCAAAATGCTGGTTGTATTTCCGACAATGACATAAATTGGGGGTATCTTAACTGGTTTCTATGACAGGTTTTTTGTTTTGTCTGAGTTCTTTGCCAAAGGCGAAGTTGCATCTGGTCCCGGGGAGGGTGGGGGAGCTCTCCCTTTTTTGGCCTTAACGGGTAGGTGCTGCTGATTCGAACAGGGTATTTGGTTTTCAGGGTGTTGAGTCTGATAAAGGGTATACAGTTTCACTATTTAGCGTCTTAAAAAGGGTTTATTTTGCACCGGAATGCCTTTCAAAGAATATGAACCTTCAATCGATGACAAAATGAGTCGAGACACTTCGCCCTCAAAAGGGGCTTTTTGACGTTTTACCACTTCCAAAGGGGAAAATATAGCTTTATCCCCCCATGCCCTCAATGCAATGTTGCGCCGCTGTTCGAGCTACCTTTAGAAAACAACAAACACCCCAACTTTGAATGGAGGGGACAGGGGAGGGGTGCGGATTCTTATGTTCTCTGAAGTTACCCTATTTGTTACCCGATTTTTGGAAATGGGCGGACTACATTTGTGGCAGCAACAATATTTGTGCAAGAAAATTTACTTCCACGATCGTCGGTAACTAAAAATTACTTATTCTGTGTGAGAAAAGAAGCGAATGAGTGTCATAAAAATTAGGCACTTGTCTTAAACAGGGTAGCGAAAATGACCGCTTTTTGTCTTTAACAGGCCCTCCCCCCCACTTCCCCCGCTATATTGGACATCTGGTGCATCTTTGTAACTGTATCGTGCGTTTTTGAGCGCTTGAGGCGAGATGAATCATTTTTCCGATCTTTATCTATAATAATTGTTGTAATCTTGCGATCTGTAGGCAGGCCGAGTCTTTTGTCGTAAATGTTGGGTCTTATTCGTCCTTCCATCGAGCTGATCCGTTATAATCCCTACATGGTGGATCTCCGAGTTCGAGCTCTAGCGATATTTCGGGTACTCAAGATTGCCAGTTTACTGTGAACAGGAGACGAGCCCGCTAAAACAGGCATTGAGGGCAGGCTTAAGTAAGTGGTGCTGTTTTGATTACACCATTTCTGCTTTTTGCAGGACTCCATTCTGTTTGTCTAAATTCGATGGAATATGGTCCGTTTGAGAAGCTTCGAGGTCCTATTTCTACAAAACCCTTTTCCTTAACTCTTAGTTAGAGACAAGGCGACTGTCGAAGTCGCTTATATTTTAATATTATCGCCCAGAAACTTCCACGAATTTCCATTGTTATAGTGTCTGTTGATGTATTTTTATATGATGTGAGAATTACTTTGCCTTAGATGGATTTACCCCTCCTTACATTGGGCTAATTCAGTTGCCTGTATAGAATTCTACACGGCTCAAAGAAACCGAACCCGCAAATGCAAATGTTGCGCCTGCCATTGATTAAGTTTGATAACGCTATGAGAGTGATTTATGTTGGCTTTGACTAAACAAGATGAGCTACATCGTCAGCTAATTAGCTTTTGCCTTGTGAACTGCTGATAAGATATGTTTTTTCTGACCCTTCATCCGTGACAGTTTGATTTCCGTATGCGCCGTCCGTCATTTTGCTAGGAGAATGAGGTTTAAAAAAATCATTTTCTCGCCCACGGTTTATCCACTGTTTCGGAGAGAAAGTGCGCAAACGCTACAAGATGTGAAACATAAGTCTAAAAAAGTTACCAGGAGTGGGGTTTGAACCAACGCGGATAACACGTTCATTGGATCTTAAGTCCAACGCCTTAACCACTGAGTTTGTGTCATCGCCACCAGTCTACTTTATTTTGATAGTTAACTTCATTGAAAAAACAATCGGTGACAAAGCGAAAATAAAACAATAATAATAACAAAAAAATCATTTTATAGTACAATCAAAGTACTACAATTTACAAGTTTTAACATGTAAGATTTAACTAGGACTTTTCGAGTCGATTCAGCTGTGGTTTAAAATAGTGAGTTATTGTAGACGAATTATTAAGTGCGTTCAAGTCTCTCTTGGATGGATCCAACTGTTTGATTTTAGAAACTCTGACACGAGAACGCAATTAAATAGTGGTAATGACATGTGTTTAATACTCCACCAGGATGGCCGAGTGGTTAAGGCGTTGGACTTAAGATCCAATGGACGTATTGTCCGCGTGGGTTCAAACCCCACTCCTGGTAATATCTTTTATCCCTACATTTCAAATCTTGCTGCCTTAGTAAACTTTCTGGTAATTTTATCCTGTTTTTTTTTTTCAAAATTACAAACACTATTCCTCTCACCAGTAGGAGACATTACTGTTTACAAACATTCTTTTTATTATTCAAATTAATTTGTGATTAGTGAAACAAAAGAATACTGATTTTGTTTCAAGAACCAATACGCTTGTGGTTGGCACATAGACATTACATGTAACCGGTGACGTCAGCGTGAGTATTTGACACGCTAAAAACGTTTTTTTCTCATATGACGTAATTCAAAATGGTTCTGTGAGGATAATTGAACGATCAGCAAGATTATGAACTGCATGATGTAAAAAAAGGAAAAAACTCAAAACTGTTCTACAGAAATCTTCAATCTCTCCTACGTGCATCTATTTCTCATGTTGTAAGACAAAGTTGTACAACTAATGTTATCATAAACACAGCAGTCGAGCCCTAGCCGAAAAGAGATTCATTTTTATCAGTTTCAGCTCTTTAAATTCGAACCCACTACTTCGCTTAATTAAACAGATGAGAGGTTTTGTAAGGAAATCAAGCGATTATCTTAAAATATTTATCAGGATTCATAACACTGCTAACAGCCGATCTTCGATTATTTAGAGAGAAAGGAAAAATGACCTTAGTACATGTGCACAGACATGACTCCGGTTAGAAAGTTCTAAAAATACTAAAGATAAGGAGAATTGATGGCCGACAGACAGTAGAATTAGTGTCAATACAGTTCTCTTAAAATTGGTCTTCCCACAATTGCATTGACAAGTAAAATACCTATACCTCAACCCTTGCACAGAGAATTGATTTATAAAGCCGAACAGCTATAAATGTTTCTGGGCTAAAGCTGATTTGACGCTTCAGTTATGATTAATTTACCCCCATGAAGCTGACATATGGACGATTTAATAAGATCAAAGTCTTAAATTGATTTCATAGCATGCCTGAAGATCACTAGATTAACTATAACTGAAACGCACACGTCCCGGCATTGGATCAATCTATAAAGCGAATAAACCGTAAGTAAAGACGAACAATGCAAAATAGTGTTGGGTAGAGGTATGTTACAATAGTTATCATAATTTGTGACATAGCCATTTTTTAGACATTTTTTTGTATAGTATCCCAGCCAAAAATCATCTAGAACGGCTGACTTAAATTTATCGCTCAGGCAGCAAAATTAAGATTAAACGATTCAACATTTCCCTCCATAAAGATAAAAAATATATAATTTAAGCAAAAAAGAAAAAACAAACGATTTATCTCTATTAATGTTAATGTTTTGTAAATTAAATCGCTTAAAGTAATACAAGTAGTTTAACTTCAAAAGGTTTTAGTAATATATGTAGAAATATTTTTGACAATAGGATCTTTTAGAGTTCTACTGTTGAAAAGGAGAATCAGTTGCTGTTTGCCGTGGATTCTGAGTTTCATGTAAATTCATGGGTTATAACCAAGCTGGCCGGCTATAATTTCAATTATTACATCAATTTTTATTTTCTAGGATCATCTTTTATTGATATCGTCTATTGTCCAACGCATAACGCTCGATACACATTAGGCAAAGCGTTGCGACAGTTCAGGTCATTTTAAACCTATGAGGGCGAAATCTCATGAAATTCGGCTAAAGCAACGATAGCCTGCGTTGCTGACGGTATTGTGTAGTAGTCGAGTGAGATTTGGAGGCGGAGCCGTTGTAATATATTCGAGTGAGATTTGACGGCAGTTTGGGGGCAAAAATGCCGGATCCATATTTAGGTTACTAGTTCTCAGCGATCGGTCACGTAATACAAACTCAAGGGCGAAGCTTCATGCCGCAGCATCAGTCGAGGATATACACGATAAATTTTCCCCCTAAATCTGAAACCTGAGATAAATATGCTACTAAACTGTATGGTGGAAACGAGATGGAAAGATAGTCATATATTTTTGTTGACTACCATTAATTTTTTTTAACCAATTCGACCCTTGTATTCGCAGAGCACATGATGGGGTCTTGTAAAGTTGATAAAGCTCTAACTGTTGGCGAAATCCTGTGATGTGATTATTCAAATAAAACCTTTCTGGCATTACTTTCACGTGGTGCTATTTAATATGCAAACAAAACTTGTGAGAATTTGTAGAATTTTGATGTTGGCAACTTTTGGGAGTTTTAAAAAGGTTTAACGATGACTTATCACGAGAGTAGTTTGAATTGCGATCCAAGTTCAAATTCTAAGCAGGTTATCGGTAATAAACCAGCTGTTCGAAATGTATGTGCTCTTGAATAACATGTCAAATGTGACCTAAAGAAAGACGGTTTAATTGGCCTTGGATTACAAGAGGGACTTGAAATACATTAATTAAACTAAAGAATAATTATTTGTCCGTGTTGTGCCTAACTTCAAACGAAACATTGAAAAAACGATGTATTATCCTGTCACAAATATGTTTTTCCTAGAACCTTCCAGTATAATTTTAGGGAAGGCATGTGACTCATCTTACAAATCTATAAGCTATAACTCTTGTTGAAGCAAGGCGAATATGAAATAATTAAATGAAAGTCCCCTTTCCTAATGTATTCCTACAAAGACCAAACAAAAAACAAAAAACAACAACAACAACAACAAGAAAACAGAAAAAAATATATCAACAACTGTTTCTAAGAGAGAATACATCTCCATGTCAGTTATTCTTTGACTCATCGCTTTTTCTAGGGCATAGATGATATTTATAAAAGCATTTAAGTGCAGTACGCTTTCCGGTAATTCAAAGTGCTATGATATTTCAGATTTGTAGACAGGAAAGACCCTTTGGACATTTTGCAAATAGTCAAGGAATGCAGTAGAATACACTATTTGGCTATTTATAATCTTTCTTATTTTCTTTCTGTTAAGTAAAAATTCGCTTTCTTATAATACTACCCTTATTTTTTATTTTCATTTTTTACCCTCTGTCTTTAGCCGCAATCGACTATAAAAATGGACAGTATAACTAATCTTTTTTCCTAGTACTGTATTTTACTAACCGAAACGGCCCTATTTTTAAGCTAGCTAGTTCCAGTTTATAAATGTTCCCAGGCAGACTGGAAATTCAATTGGTCGTAACCTTTTCCCTTTCCGATTTAAATAACAGAAAATCCTCGTATCTTTTGTCCGGCAACTCCTCTTTGTGTCCATCTTTCTATTTTTTAGTTTAAGGCTAAAATTTGCGGTCTGGTTGATTGACGCGACCTTAAGCAGTGCAAGGCAAAAAAGGGACAAAAGTGAGCTCTCTCGTAGAAATTCTTCATTGCCTCTTTGGGGCCATTTGCGCAAAGTGACCTTAAGTCCAACTTAACTTCTCTTGGTTTCCACAGATACATGAGATGCTGTGGAAAGCATGCAATGATAATGATAGTTTGACTTATTAGAAAAACCTTTGATCCTACTTATGGCGAAAAATGTTCACTTCACTGCTGACTTTATTTCATGTCGGTAACCTGTTAAGACGCTATTTCAGATTGAAGTAGCTTAGAGCGGATATGAAGAACATAGGGCGTGATACTACAATATACCAATTTCAAGTACAGACGAGGCCTTGAATGATTCTAAAAATTGTCCTTCGTCCAACAAGGAATTAGATATGCTCATTGATGACTTCTGTTAACTCCCTCGATTTTTGAAACCTGCCATGAAATTAAGTGGTTGCTGTGTGTTATGTAAATTTTCTTTTTAAAACATTGAAATTTATTGAAGGAGATCGACTTAAGACATACTATAAATCTAAATAAATCTCGGATTCCCAGTAGGGATATTAGTTGGGACGCAATATTTACATGCTGAGGTTAACAGCAACGTTTACAACAAAACTGAAAAAAGAAGGAAAGCAGCATTTCACCCAACCCAGTCCCTAGAAAGTTCCTGAGGCGAAATTCCCATTTTTTTATTCTTTTAATCTAGAAAATATTTTCTGGCCAATGAGAAACAAGGAAACCTATTGTAAATCCCGGGGCTTCGGGGATCCTTAATTAGATAAAATGTAAATATAAAGTGAAGGGTTTTAAATGTTTCCTTTGTGTTTGTAAGGCTCAATACTAAGTAACCGTGATAGGTGTTGTATGGTATGTTGGTAGTATGAATGTCCTCTTGGTCCTAATGACTCGTGTACTACTGCATCAAATTTACATTGCGTTCGTTATTTACAGAACCGGGGTTAAAAAAACTCGAACTGATTGAGAGTGCGGAGGAGCTACCGTAACGATAATCGCCACAGCGCGCATGAGTAAGTAACATCTACGTAAAGTTGTAATAACTCGCTTTTAATATCCATCCAGCCTTTTTTTCTTCTTTTATCAGAAAAGAGGGCATTGTATTGACAATGATATTGTCGTTATAAGTAACTTTTCTTGTT